AGCGACAAAACTGCAGTGAACATAACCGCAAAGTTGTTTTCAGGAACGCGTTTGTGTGTGTGTGTATATGCGTACCTAATAACCAGAGTTAGCCTTAGTTTAGTTACGAGGCACATAATGGGTTCAGGATTATAAAAACACATGGTTGAGGTGAAGAAGAATGGGGAGTCAACTACGCAAATCTACATATTACATGAGGTTCGAGGCTCCTATCGTTCAAGTGAATAAAGTATTTATATAATGCACACTGCATCCTATAACAGCATCATTTACGCTAAGCTACTCTACGTCATCTTTTTCCCCATAACAGGATGTAGAATTTCACATCACCTCAAAATTATTATAACGCATTTTAACTCATTGCCTTAATAAAACCAAGTATACATCATCGTACACTTGCCATATGCACTACGCTTCGTGCGCTCTGCAACCCGACAGCCAAGAGCAAAAACGCATTTTTCCCAGGGAACAAAGAGCGAGCGAAATACGGTCCAGCATCAGCACAACCATCTCCGGGCAAACACCTCAGCTCTACGCCAGGCGGAACAGATAAGCATGGAAGTCACTGACTGATCCTGCTTTCCTGTTGGGAGTTTACATAGATTGATTTGGGCATTGTCGCCCGGATTCGGTTAGGCAAAGTGGGGAGGGGGGAGGATAGCCAATAAACTAGCCTTACATAGATTGATTTAGGCATTGTCGCCCGGATTCGGTTAGGCAAAGTGGGGAGGGGGAGGATAGCCAATAAACTAGCCTTCTTGATTGGTAACCCCCAAAAAACATGAAGTGAGGGAGGCGTGATGAAACCATAATTACTTCAGCACGAGATTATCAACTCCAGTTTACAAAACTGACAGGTGACTCACGAAAACTTGGCAACAGAACATGCAGATAATGGTTACAAGGTTGTTTACACACAAGGTGGCCTGTTAAGTCTACTATCTCAAGGTACAATACTGTAGCCTACAGTATTGTACAATATTGTCGCCTACAATACTAGGCTACAAGGTAGCCTAGTCGAACAACCATTATAAAAGCCTTGAAATATTACATACAAAAATAGCATCGCTCCAATTTATCAGCATACCTGAATCAGATTTGAGAAATCTTTCTGCATTTAAAAAAAGCAGTATTAAACATGAGGCAATTAGTAGAAAATTTATATTTATTGACTTCTAACAAAGCCCCGGAAATTTCAGAGGCTACCAATTTTTTGTAATTATTTAGCGATGTCTAACAAATAGCAATAATTCCACGTATGTCACACACCTTCACCTCCCACCAACTGTTATTAGCACCACAGTCTCTTGTTAGTACCACCATCACAACCTCCATCAACTACCATTTCTAAGAAATGGTAGTTAACAATCATTAGAGACCAAATTCAAGGGAGAGGGGGGGCGGTAAACAAACGAGGTTCTATCCACGATAACAAACTGAAAACAGTCAAATAAATAAACCAAAAAGTCAAGCAAGGATAAGATAAATAAAACAAGTATAGCAAGGTAAAATAGACCTGATAAAATCAAAACGGAAAGAAAAACATGAACTAATTAGCAAGAATAAATTTTTTTTTTACAAGAAATTCAATAGTATATTATGATTTTATTCGTGAATGGTGTAGCAAACAAGCATTTTCTTCAACATCATATTGCAGTGATGTTGATTCAACATCATATGCACCATATGGATAACGTGACATCTGCCTGGGCACGCCTCGAAGAGTACTTACTGGAGAAGTGATGACCAAATCATCAGAAGATGGAGAAACGACGACGTTTCGGTCCGTCGTGGACCATTATCAAGTCGTGTGTGGTCCAGGATGGACCGAAACGTGGTGTGTAGTCATATCCATCTTCTGATATATGGTCTGGTCATATCTTCAGCCACTTTATTGTGAATCATCGTTTGCACTTACTGGAGAACTCTTGAGATCCGGTTCATCACCTCATCCATCGCCAGCGAGAGTCTTCCATGTAATAAGAGAAGAGGATTTCTATAACCTTCACGCAAGACATTACACACTTCCTGTCGAGTTAACATAAGGTTTGTTTAAATTAATCGAAATCTCTTACTTTCCCGGCTTAACCGAGATGAACAATTACTGTGAGCTTGGACTCTAAGCCCCGAAACCATCTCAAGGTATCTAAGGTAACCCAGAGGGGTTTTCTTATTGTTGGAGGTGTTTACCCAGCCCGTTCTTCCGAGCCTTCCAGGCCTTAGTAAACTGGTGTATTAAATTGCCGGAATCTAAGCTACCTGAGGACCCACGAACAGAAAACGGGACATCACGTCAATTTCTCGAGCCGCTTCCACTTTTAGTACATCAGTTTTTGGCTTATGGAAATTATAAGTCAAAATGCGATATACTCTTCAGGAGAACTTGTTGTTGTACATGCTGCTTGTACAGCATGATGAGTGATGCTGCCCAATACTGTCACTATGACAACATGTCCAGTCACAGCATGAGTGACTGTCCAATAACTGGCCTTCCTGGGCGAAATTTAAGAATTAATATTTTTTCAGACTCTTGGTAACTCCAGCTTAGGGCGGGACATTCTGGCACGATTCCTTGCACCTGATGCAATAGGTACCCGGGAGTTTGTCCATTGTTATGGATCATATCCTTATTTATTATTTTTATTTATTTATATACAAGAAGGTACATTGGGTTTGTGAGAATACATAGCATAGTATTTACAATCTTGTAAAGCCACTAGTACGCGCAGCGTTTCGGGCAGGTCCTTAATCTAACAGATAATTTTAAGTAGGTAAATTCTAGCAGAATTAAGAATTATCCTGGGGTAGGTCAGTCGTTGACTTAGGCCAGGGGACCTCGATTATCCTAACAGGTTTCCTGTCCTGACAGTGAAAAACCATTCTGTACTTCGACTAGCAAAGCCTTTAATATCGCGCTTCACCAAACATCCACTAGGAAAGTAGAGGTGCATGGTACTCAGTTATACCAAGTTGGAGTTAGGTATAGTTATTTGACAGGAAAAAGAAGGTTAGTATAAATGGGGTTAAGTCCAAGTTGGAAACCGTTTAAGTGGAGTGCCCCAGAGCCTTGTCTAGGGGCCTCGTAATACATTTGGCTTCATTCTCGACTCTAAATCGGGGATCCTGGGTTCGAATCCCGGGCGATACAGAAATGGTTGGGCACGTTTCCTTTCGCCTAATACTCGGGAGTAATCAGCTACCCTGGAGTTAATTAACTGTTTTTGGGTTGCGTCCTGGGGAGGGTCAGTAAGTAGTTTGACCTCAGTACAACCCTGAAGTATATATTCGCAGGCTTCCTGCCCCGAGAAAAATGAATTATTATTAATTATGTATAAACGATTTACACACAAGACTGAAGATCATTCACTTGCAAATTTGCAGACGATACAAAAGGTCGGGAAATATATTCATGTGATTCAAAATTACTACAGGCGATCAAGATACGCTTTTAAAATGGACCAAATATTGGCAGATACAGATTAATGTAGGGCTCTTGAGCTTTGGTAATGATAATGGTTACCATATATCAGCTGAACAATGATGAAATTGCTAAATTTAAATACGAAAAAGATCATAGTCGTATTTAGTAGGAATCTTAACAGGGTTAGTAAAAAAAATCATCAGATCCCGGCCGGTTTTATATGATCGTCGCTCCTGGTGGATGGAGTCCTGGGACCTTCTGCCCCCTGCCCTGTATGGCATGGTGCAAATGTTTACATGTACAGAATAAGGCTAATAGGAAAATGTTTACATGTACAGAATAAAGCTAATAGGAAAATGTTTACATGTACAGAATAAGGCTAATAGGAAAATGTTTACATGTACAGAATAAGGCTAATAGGAAAATGTTTACATGTACAGAATAAGGCTAATAGGAAAATGTTTACATGTACAGAATAAGGCTAATAGGAAAATGTTTACATGTACAGAATAAGGCTAATGGGAAAATGTTTACCAGTGCATAATAAGGCTAATAGGATTCTGGGATTCATATCTAGAAGCATTTGGAATGAGACATCCAATGTTATTCTTCAATTTATTTTACCTTTGTTTGGCCCCACTTAGATAATGTAGTTGTTTTGGACTTCGTACTATAGAACTGAATTGTACTATAGAATGTACATAAATTAATTTGAACGTGTTCGGAGAAGGATGAGGAAGTTAATCCCAGGAATTCAAAACCTTCCTTACTAAGCGAGATTAAGAAAGCTTAATTTACATTCACTAAATGGATGATAAGTAAGGAGTAATGTGATTGAAGTATGCAAATGGATGAAATGTTTGCCAAATTTGATATTATTCGTTTGTATCGTATTTGAGGCAAAGGATTGTGACGTTGTGTATCTTGACTTTAGCAAACATTTGATACTGTACTGAGCTCACGAAAGACTGGAAAATTCGAGCTCGTGGTATTGGGGGGTTTACATCCTAGGTTGGATAGTTATTAAATAACTAATAATAACAGCATAGTTATTAAAAAAAAACAGTAGGCTTTCTGCAGTTTCCAATGTTCTTATGTTTGTATAACCTTAAAGGAGGCTGCGGGCATGGAATACAAATCAATTTAATAAATTAAATTTAATAAATTTGTATTTATACAAATCAGTCGATTGGGCCGAAAGGGGAATCAGATTCCCAAGGGGAGAGAGACCCTCATGAGCCAAGTCAGAAGTGTTCGGCAAATGCATTCAATGTTTACCTAGATCACCTGATTGATACAGCCAGGATCGAACGCCGATCCCTTTAAGGAGTGAAGCCATCGCTTCACAGACCACTCTTAAGTGGATGGCTAGATAACTATCAGGGGAACGTGCCAAGCCAGCATGACTATAGGAAAGTGGGTGGATAGTGTACTATATAAAATCACACTAGCTGCAGTACATATATAAATTATATATAACAAGATTTATATAAACTTTTGAATGTATTATCCTGAATGAATTATAATCAATATTAAAGCTTTCAAGTTTTATAAGTAGGAGTTTTAATTTAAAACAATGAAAAATAAATATTTTTATTCGATATTTAAAACCTGTATCCTTCACATATGAGTGAAGGATGAGCAACATCCTCACAGATGAGTGAAGGATAAGCAACATCCTCACAGATGAGTGAAGGATAAGCAACATCTTCACAGATGAGTGAAGGATAAGCAACATCCTCACAGATGAGTGAAGGATAAGCAACATCCTCACAGATGAGTGAAGGATAAGCAACATCCTCACAGATGAGTGAAGGATAAGCAACATCCTCACAGATGAGTGAAGGATAAGCAACATCTTCACAGATGAGTGAAGGATAAGCAACATCCTCACAGATGAGTGAAGGATAAGCAACATCCTCACAGATGAGTGAAGGATAAGCAACATCTTCACAGATGAGTGAAGGATAAGCAACATCTTCACAGATGAGTGAAGGATGACCAACATCCTCACAGATGAGTGAAGGATAAGCAACAAAGTAACAAGAACAAATGCATTCAACACGCAAGAGTCAATATAAAAATATAAATATACACACTAAAACCACAAGACACTTGTTAACCGTTGGGCTGCTAAACTATTAATCGGGAGAAACAAGCAGCAAAGGGTGGGCTCAAAATAAATTAAAACTGTTGAAATTATGCATAATAGGGAAAGCAGTAAGTTCAGCAAGTCCATATTTCAACTAATACAATAATTGTCTAAATAGTCCTCGCATAAATAGCACACAATGGTGAAAATATCACAGACACACATTTAGACACTTCACCATAATTTTCCCACGGGTAATTTTAGAAACAATCACCCAAAGGCTTATAACAGGATGAAGGGAGTTTGTTAAATTCTGTAGTTTGTATATATTTGAGGAAACAAATATATACAAACCGCTTGAAAACCTTAGCGATGGTTCATGTATCGTGTAATGTTCATTTGGAAAAGGCTTGGCATATTGTTTTTCCATAGTCGGGGACAAAAAGCCGATACATAGGCTTATCGGGGCCTCTCCACATCCTGAGGCCAGCTGTTGACCTTCCCCAGGATGTAGACTACGAACGGTGGCAGAACTCCCGGGTACCTATTTACCGCAATATGAACAGAGCATCATCAGGTGAAAGGAAGCATTGCCCAAATGTCTCTGTTGTGCAGCAGGAATCGAACCCAGGACCTTTAGATTGTGATAAGACGGCACTGACCAAAATAATACACACAACCCAAGATATAACACTGATAGCATATAATTTTACAATAAATGCCGAATATTCCAGGGTTTAACTCTGAAAAATGCCAAAACACTAACAATATAAAGACCGATTTAGTCACCGCTCAAAAATCTAGAAATATTGAAGGCACTCGTGAGGACTGAAGACAACACGTTGCCGGGGAAAGACCAAAATGTTGTGGTGCTTGTAGTCAATGAACTTGAGTTCAAGTGCTTTAGTTCAATGTAGTGAACTCGAGAGGTTCACCCCACGTACGAGAAAGTATCAGTACATCTCTTAATCCATTACAAGCACACGCTTAAACCACTGATATAACTGTCGCTGTGATGAACAACAGTACCACTGATATAACTGTCGCTGTGATGAACAACAGTACCACTGATATAACTGTCTCTGTGATGAACAACAGTACCACTGATATAACTGTCTCTGTGATGAACAACAGTACCACTGACATAAGTGTCTCTGTGATGAACAACAGTACCACTGACATAAGTGTCTCTGTGATGAACAACAGTACCACTGACATAAGTGTCTCTGTGATGAACAACAGTACCACTGACATAAGTGTCTCTGTGATGAACAACAGTACCACTGACATAAGTGTCTCTGTGATGAACAACAGTACCACTGACATAAGTGTCTCTGTGATGAACAACAGTACCACTGACATAAGTGTCTCTGTGATGAACAACAGTACCACTGACATAAGTGTCTCTGTGATGAACAACAGTACCACTGACATAAGTGTCTCTGTGATGAACAACAGTACCACTGACATAAGTGTCTCTGTGATGAACAACAGTACCACTGACATAAGTGTCTCTGTGATGAACAACAGTACCACTGACATAAGTGTCTCTGTGATGAACAACAGTACCACTGACATAAGTGTCTCTGTGATGAACAACAGTACCACTGACATAAGTGTCTCTGATGAACAACAGTACCACTGACATAAGTGTCTCTGTGATGAACAACAGTACCACTGACATAAGCGTCTCTGTGATGAACAACAGTACCACTGACATAAGTGTCTCTGTAATGAACAACAGTACCACTGACATAAGTGTCTCTGTGATGAACAACAGTACCACTGACATAAGTGTCTCTGTGATGAACAACAGTACCACTGACATAAGTGTCTCTGTGATGAACAACAGTACCAGACATAAGTGTCTCTGTGATGAACAACAGTACCACAGACATAAGTGTCTCTGTGATGAACAACAGTACCACAGACATAAGTGTCTCTGTGATGAACAACAGTACCACAGACATAAGTGTCTCTGTGATGAACAACAGTACCACTGACATAACTGTCTCTGTAATGAACAACAGTACCACAGACATAAGTGTCTCTGTGATGAACAACAGTACCACTGTCAAAAGTGAGACGGTTGGAAATAACGTTTTCTGACGGATTAATTGGGTAAGCAGCGAGACATAGATATATGGATGTTGTTTGTAAACAAAAAAATGCTAAAAAAAATCAAAATAATAAATAATGAATATCAAATGACAGGATGATGGTGAAGGAGAGACGTAGAAGGAAACATTCTAGGAAACCAACCAACTAACAATCTTATTTCACCTGACAGAACAAGTTATTCAAAACCAAATCTGACAAAAGCAATGATAAATATGGCATAATATTACAATTTTCTCATACCTTCTGCTCTCACCTGTTTTAAATGTAATTCTAGGCACAGTCACAAAATATATTTGGTAATTATATATTCTCTACATTGTACACCGCACCATTAATGATAGTAACATTTGATGGCCAAAGATGAAGGGACTTGTAGTTTCTTATTAAATCTGTGGCAGTGTTTAACTGCGAAAATATGCTTTAATTTTTTGTTTATGCAAATATTTATAAAGAGAATCAAACCGGGAAGACTATTTACATTTCTATTTAGGCTATTCAAATTTGTTGTTTACTAATACGCTTCTAAAAATACTTCTTCATTGGACTATTAATTTACAATGATGAATGCCATTTGTACCAAATATTCCCCACACCAAATGAGTAGATCTATATACAGATTAATAATATATATTTATAATTTTATTGTCAAATATGACGCTAAACAGTATATAGCAGATGCTTGAATTAATATCTAAATTATGCATTTACTAACCTGTTCTAAAGGTTGAAAATGAGACACAACATATTAGAGAGAGAGAGAGAGAGAAACACTGACAAGTGGAAATACAGGTACAAATAATGTTAGTGTATTGAATCAACATGTTGGGTGTCTGTCGTCCGCCATAAGGGTGTTGGCAGCGCCTAAGAGAGTACTTCGGCAGATCTCGCAGTCGTCGTTGGGGAGGTCGAAGGCCCAGTGTCCTGGTAGTCATAATAATCATAGTACTGATAATCATTGACAATACTGCGATCATGAGATGGCGATGCAGGTGATCGTCTGTAGCCGGTGCTCTCTCTTGAAGTCGAGTTCTTTTCGGCAATAAGATCGTGGTGTAGACTAATGCTAGATGGAGGTTCGTCAGTCAAGACGAAGCGTTGGTGGGGAGGCAGTTCGGCGTTGAGCTTTTTGAGGCCCTGTTCAATGGCCTGTAGAAGCATAGGGCCCTCTTCTAGATCAAACAGCTCGATCTGCCCTTCCTCGCGAGATTCTTCCTCCTCTTGTCCTGGTGGGGAAGTTATTAGAGGCGTTAGAGAGAATCAAAGTGGTGGAAGGTGGCGAGTAAATATTATGTTAGGTGGTGAATAACATCAAACGCTATGGGGGAGTGTGAACAATATATCAAGACCTTTTGAGTAGTTAACAACTTGTCGAAATCACGAGTACTGCGAGATTCGAATCCTCAGATTATTTGAATCCTCAAATAATCTGAGGATTAATAAATAATCTTTGTAGTTTCACATTGGGTGGCAGATTACATGGTTGGAGAATTTGCCTTACTGGGAATTATCAGAAGTGAAGGCTGTTGTTAAGACAATATGGGAGGGGTGGGGGGCTAGATCTTGTGCAACCGGTGTGGAGGGTTACCACCTGTTTGGAAGTGTGTGGAGGGTTACCACCTGTATGGGGGGCGTGTGGAGGGTTACCATCTGTATGGAGTGAGTGCAGAGGGGTGCTATCTGTATGGAATGAGTGTGGATGGTTGCCATCTGCATGAAGTGAGTGTGGAAGGTTACCACCTGTAAGCATAGGTATGGAGGGTTACCATCTGTATGGAAGGAGTGATACAGGATACCATCTGTATGGATGGATACAGGATACCATCTGTATCTTGGTGTGAAGAGAATATGACTGTAGCTAGTGTAGAAGATGGGTGGATGACAGTAGCTAGAGTAGAAGGAGGGTGGATGACAGTAGCTAGAGTAGGTGGGTATATGGATTTAAGCTGTGTGTTAGGAGAGATAACACTGTAACCAAATTGAGTAAAAGATAATTTGTCACCAAAATGTTTGGCAGTCTGATAGTTTGATCACTGGATAGTTTGATCACTGGATAGTTTGACTATTGAATAGTTTGATCACTGGATAGTTTAGCAGTTAAATAGTTTGATCACTGGTTAGTTTGACTATTGAATAGTTTGATCACTGGATACTTTGACTATTGAATAGTTTGACTATTGAATAGTTTGAGCACTGGATTGTTTGACTATTGAATAGTTTAATCACTGGATAGTTTGACTATTGAATTGTTTGACCATTGAATTGTTTGATCACTGGATAGTTTGACTATTGAATAGTTTCACCTTTTTTATATATATACAAGTTCTTACATTCTTGTAAGGCCACTAGCATGCATAGCGTTTCGCGCATGTCCTTAATGTTCCCCGGAATACGATCCGCCAAATCGTTTAACAACCAGGTACCCATTCACTGCTGGGTGAACAGAGGCGTACAGTTAAGGATTGGCACCCAGTCAATCCTCCCCGGCCAGGATATGAACCCAGGTCAAAGCGCCGGGCTAGTCCTTTACCACTTTGCCATGGGGACTGGGCATATGAATTTTGACTACTAGTTAGGTTTGACTACTAGAAAATTTAACCACTAGTTTGACCAGGTAATAGGTTGGAAAGTAGATTGTGTACCAGATTGACCATTAATAAACAAAATTGGTGATTTGTTACATATCCTAATGAACGTAGTCCAATTTAAATGTGCTTCATTGTGCTAATATATGTACATGAACGTACATAAACACATGTACAAGTATTATCTGCCTGTGTAAATGTCTAAAAGAAACAACATCGCCTGACCCAAAATTGGTACGCAACAGCACAGCACTCACTATCCCCAATAGCAAGATTGATCAGGGTTCGAACCCTGGGTAATATGGAGTTATTTTGCACTGGTCAGTGTTGATCCCAGTGCACCCAGCAATAATTGGGGACCTGGTTGTAAAGCGAGTAGCGAATCATGTTCTGGAAAAAAAAACGCTAGTAGGATAAGGCTTTAGGTGGAAGCAAGAGGTGTTAACATGCAAGCAAGAGTCAAAAGTTATTATGTTAAGAAAGAGATAAGCCAATATGGTTATACAACACAAGAGTGTTGTAAAACTAGTCGGACATATTTTCACAAGTTAAAATATTTTTACTGCTGTACTATTTTGTAAACAAAATATTTTTACTGCTGTACTATTTTGTAAACAAAATATTTTTTTTACTGCTGTACTATTTTGTAAACAAAATATTTTTACTGCTGTACTATTTTGTAAACAAAATATTTGTACTGCTGTACTATTTTGTAAACAAAATATTTGTACTGCTGTACTATTTTGTAAACAAAATATTTTTACTGCTGTACTATTTTGTAAACAAAATATTTTTACTGCTGTACTATTTTGTAAACAAAATATTTTTACTGCTGTACTATTTTGTAAACAAAATATTTTTACTGCTGTACTATTTTGTAAACAAAATATTTTTACTGCTGTACTATTTTGTAAACAAAATATTTGTACTGCTGTACTATTTTGTAAACAAAATATTTTTACTACTGTACTATTTTGTAAACCAAAATTAATGTCTGACTATTGACCTGATGTAAATGAACATATTTTAAGTTTTATCTATACATGCGATATAATTGAGTATAGTGAAGTATTCACTATATAGTATATATACTTGACTAGTGAAGTATACTTCACTAATGAAGTATACTTCACTAGTGAAATATATACTTCACTAGTAAAGTATATACTTCACTAGTGAAGATAAAAAATCGTTTTATCTTGACATCTGGAATAACTGTGAATACTGCAAAGTCTTGACTACTAACCAGAGATAACTTGAACCTGAGCCTGAGGTTTGTGTGATCGCGCCTTGCTCATGATGGCTGTGTAAATATCAAGGGGACTGAGTGTCCCTGTCAGGGGCACCTCCAGGGACACGGCTCCGCTCCGACCTGTTGCAACATCTCCGCCCCTAGAAGATGAATTAGCACACACTCAACTGACTTGCAATGGATTGCTAACAAATAATTTGAATGTAGCAAGTTTAAGCAGATTTAAGGATGGATTTATGTAAATTCTTGCGTTATAGTTAAAGGAGACTTTATACTATGCAAAATATAAACACACGAGGGGTGATTATACCAATGACAAAATCTTTTGGAGCAATGAAATGGAATCGAACTTATGTCGTGAGCACACGCCAGTCTTACCAACTTAATACTACGTATCTAAATGGATTATAAAGGAGAAAGATTATTTATCTTACCCCTGTCTTCGATTCACTGATGGTGCTCTGGAATACAAGTTGAGGTGGAGAACAATCTCATGTTTGTTGACATCATCTTGAGGAGAAAATCGTTCTCTTTGGCTGTATCCACCGTTGCTGTAACCGTTTACGTAATCACTGTTGGTGTTGAAGCGTCCAGTGTCGCCGGGGATGGAGATGCTGGTCTGAAATGGTCTAGGACCTGAAGCTGTTGAAGAGTCTTCCATAGGGTAGACGTCTAGCATAATGTTGAAGGGTAGGGATTTGGTCTTGGTTGGGTCGTAAGTATTCTGCACTGGAGGGAGGAGGGAGCTGCCACTGTTGTGGGAGTTGTAGCCTACATTGTTGAAGTGGCTTCCACCATTATTGTAGGGATCGCTATTGACATGTTGCCCTCCGTTATAGTTTTGGCCTCCATTATTTAATTGGTTTCCTTCATTGAAACTGTTACCAACGTTAAAATGATTATCATTATAGTTGGTGCTACCTCCACTGTTAAATCCATGAATACCACCTCCACCACTTGCAATATTCCCATTTCCGTCTCCACCTCCAAAACCTCCACTATATTGATTACCTCCACTATGAAAGTTATTTCCATTTAAATTATTCCCTCCAGTGATGAAACCATTACCCCCACTGGTGAAGCGGTTCCCTCCATTATTAAAATCATTCGGGGATGCCGTCCCGAAGTCTGAATTATCTGTTCCTTCGATATTAATGTCCGCGAAGGGATTTGGCCCGACTACGTGATCTTGGCTACCAACGGTGAAGCCTGGAGGTAGATTCACCCGATTTCCCTGACGATTTTTATCATTCATGTACTGGATGATGTCCTGGATGCTACCTGAATCAGGTGGGTACTGGAAATCCTTCGGTGGGCGATGCCTTGTGGGCCTTCGAGGAGGTCTCCTGGGTACTGCAGGCATGCCGAGTGGAGGAGGTACTGGTGGTAGGTGGTAGCGGTATCTTGGAAGAGGCTGTGGGTGTGGGCGTGGACGTGGGAAAGGCTTTGGTAGAGGGCCAGATATTCTTGAGCTGGGATGCAGCCGAGGTCGAATGTGTCGGGCTTGAGGTGGGCCAGGCCTTGGGCCATTTAGTCTTTGCGGCACTGGTGGATTGCCATAGGAAAGGTCGGGTGTAGATTGAACTCCTGGTGACAAGGGTAACCTACCTAATCTTGCTGGTCTAGCCATCATTTCAGATGAACCATCTGTTGCGTGTGGCCCATTGTTACCTATCCTCCTAGACCCCACCGTGCTTTCCCGGTTCATTGTACCCGGAGTTACGTTGGACCCTGTATTGGGGCGATTCATGATTTCGAAGAGAGAGTTCCAGATGTCCTGGCCTGTACTGCTTGGTAGCTTAGTACCGAACCCACTTACCCCATATGTTCCCTGACCATTATTCATTCCAGTCATAGGGTTTCCATTATTAGTGTAGGAACCAACATTTCTTTGACTGTATATATTTGGTATGGGTGAGCTGTGTTGACCCGTTAAGCTTCCTCCAGTTGGCTGATTAATATTGCCCACTAGTTGACCTACTCCTACAGAATGACCCAAGTTAAGCTGCTGACCTCCAGACACCCTAAGAATATTTGGAGGAAGACTGTTGCTTAAGATACCGGATGGCAGTCGAGATCCTCCGACATGATTAGGGACAATGGGAAGGCCGTTGGAGCTTCTTCCTTGAGGTGTTCTTGAAGGAGGGAGGCGAGGCATCGGAGGATGGCTGTTGGAACGCATGGAGAAGGAGTTAAACTGATGTTTCGGTGGAACATCAATCATTTTATGCACCAATGGTGGTCCTTGGACTGGGTCTCGAGGAGGCAAGGACTGATATGGGGGTCTTAGAGGGGGTACACCAAATTGTGGTCGTCCGTTATTTGGGAAAAAGCTTCCACTGCCACCACTAGGCGCAATCATCACGGGGACAAGAAGAGGATTGGAGTGTGAGTGACTTCTAGCTTCTTCTTCCTTCTTTTCCTCTTCCTCGTTATTAAGCAAGACAGGAATATATCCCATATAAGATCTTCCTTCTGCATCCGTCTTATTTTCACGTTTGAAGTTCATGTCTCTAGTTGCTATGTGTCCTTCCTTCTCTCCATTTGGCTGCCAAACTCCTAAAGACTGATCACCCGAGTCATAACTCTTCGAGTCTTCGATGGTGTGCGAGTCAGACTCCAGCAGTCCTTCGAGGAGAGGCTCTTCTAGTCTCTCCAGGTCTGTGAGGATGGTCGAGTTGGTTACGTTTTCCTTGTGTCTCAGGAGGTCTTCAGTACCAATCTCAAAGTTGAAAATATCCAGCGGTGACGACTGGCCCATGATGGTGGTGATGATGACGTAAAACTGGAAAGAGAACAAAAGGCAGATCATAAGTCGCAACTAACGGGGCTGAAACACATTATCTAACGCGCACATAATCCGTTAGTTGTTTCAAAGCGTTATATGACAAAGAGTGCTGGGAAGACGGGACACCACGAGCGTAGCTCTCATCCTGTAACTACACTTAGGTAATTACACATATATATATAAAGTGAAAGTGATGATGTTTCGGTCCGTCCTGGAGCCTTATGTGACGACGTTTCGGTCCGTTCTGGAGCCTTATGTGACGACGTTTCGGTCCGTCCTGGAGCCTTATGTGACGACGTTTCCGTCCGTCCTGGAGCCTTATGTGACGACGTTTCCGTCCGTCCTGGAGCCTTATGTGACGACGTTTCCGTCCAGACCCTTCACCAGGACGACTCAATAAGGGTCAAAGATGGACCGAAACGTCGCCACTTTCACTTCATTCATATGTGAGGGATGGGTTAGTATTATCATATGAATATTTTCTTCTATTTACCCCCTTTGCGCCTTTTATAATAACTGGAAAGAGTTGTCATAATGAAACAGACAAGCATTCAGCTGTTAAAACTATTTTTTAAGAAAACATTAAATGATAATCAGTAATTGAATCTCATTTTAGGGACAATATCACCTCCAAAAGAACAACAATGCGCAAAGTATTTTCTTAAGTATAACTAAGCTTTAAAAATGTCAACCAAAAATTAGGTAGTGAAGATGATATTCTTAAAACACATTCCAGAACTGTGGTACTGCCAAGATATCCTTCAACACACCCCCAGAACTATTGACTATTTACTTGGAAAAAAAGAACCATTTGAACATTAAGCATGTTGGAAAACCTTTAAACTTATCTGCATGCATGTTGAATAAGATCAAAAATTTCCTAAACTGTATCTTGCCCCGAGTTATAAGGGATAAGTTACTTACCACAAGCACCAGACCCATGGATATGAGGAATCCTGACACCAGTTTGGCTACTCTGCACACTCTCCCTCCTACAGTCTTCCTGGTCCCACGCTCCTCCTCATACTCCCCCTCGTCCTCCTCCTCGTCTCTTGACGCTGCTCTTCTCTCCAACATTCTGCTGCTGCTGCTGTCTGTGCTGTCATCACCACCACCACCACCTCCTCTCTGTTCATACTGCAGTATGGGGTAGGTGCTGCTGGTGCTACTCGTCTCCTCCTCCAACGCCCTGTGGAAAGTTTGGTCTTGTATCTTCCCTGAATTTACCTGAGTTACAAAATCTCTCTAGTGGCCTCGATGGGGACAGCAAGCCAGTGGCTTGTTGAATGTCCCCTCCCTCCCCCCGCCCCTCGCCGCATTTTTCTTGAGAATTTGTTCTAACTGGTCTTGTTTTTGGTCTATAGGGTTCTTAGAAGGTTATATATAGAATCATATTGATTTACTTTAGATCTGGTTTTACATCCACATTTTACAGAGGAAATGAAACCTGTAAGCCCTTTTTAATGGCAATTATTATTTTAAATAAAGATCAAGTAGCAAAGTCACATAAAAGGTTTAAGAACACGGTAAACTATTAGATGGGGTATGTATATATATATATATATATATATATATATATATATATATATATATATATATATATATATATATATATATATTTATATAATAAGAAAGGTACTATCTCTAGTTGGAATTGGTACCCATAGACTCGGTATGTGTGTGTGTGTGTGTGTGTGTGTGTGTGTGTGTGTGTGTGTGTGTGTGTGTGTGTGTGTGTGTGTGTGTCTCACCTGTGCCTGGAAGCTGATGTATGGGCTGGACACCTGACGGGTGAAACTGAGTTCCTCCTTCTGCACCTGGACGAGCAGAAGGGCCCGCTACTTCTGCTCCGAGGGACTCTTGACACACACCCTGAGGGCCTGGTAGGGGATCTTGACACACCCCCAGAGGGCCTGGTAGGGGATCTTGACACCCTCTCACAGGGCCTGGTAGGAGATCTTGACACCCTCCCACAGGGCCTGGTAGGGGATCTTGACACCCTCCCACAGGGCCTGGTAGGGGATCTTGACATCCCCCTAGAGGGTCTGGTAGGAGATCTTGACACCCTCCCACAGGGCCTGGTAGGAGATCTTGACACCCCCTCAGAAGGCCTGATAGGGGATCTTGACACCCTCTCAGTAGGCCTGACAGGCGATCTTGACATCCTACCAGAGGACCTAGCACCGGCCCTTGAAATCCTGAATGGGTCATCCCGTTGAGGCGATGTCCTATGTGGGCTGGGGAGTCGACCCCGTGACCTTGAGTGACCCTCGTCTTCTCTCTCCCGCGAAGTCATAGCTGGCCCTGGCTTGGATGACCTGGGGCGAACCATCGCCGGTTTCACTGTGAATTATGGAGACAAACGACATAGTGAGAGTCATGGGCCACACGCTGGCCTGTGAAAGGGAGAAGCCTAATGCTAGCAGCACCGTGAAGTAATAAATGCTAGATTATAACACATGAAACACTTTCTAACTTCACTTTTCGGTAATATCATTATATCATCATACCTGAAAAAAATTTATATGTTAATTCTCAAAGAACCGTCTATAGTTACTTAGCAGCAACATCACTCTTAACTTCTACATTGAATCCTTCAATTTAAAAATTAATACCGGTACCATCTGTTTTGAGTTTCCAAAGGATATTTGAATTCATGACTAATATCCAATGTCGATGACAGGAATCCTATGTTCAGTTTTTCCGAAGCCAGACCTCCTTCAGCTACGGTCAAGTACTGACCCTCCCCAGGATGCAACCCTCCACATTTGTGCCTCTCTCTTATACCTCTTTTCTGTTAGATGAACAGAAGCACTAGGTGAAAAGAAACTTGAGCAACCATTTTTGCCCTGCCTGGGGGATCGAACCTGAGTTCCTTAATTGTAAGGAGAGGAGGATACTCACAGTGCTGTACCTTGAGGCCAGACCAGTGTATACGAATTTATAGATGGAATGTGACTTATCTTAAGTAGCTGATATATATATATATATATATATATATATATATATATATATATATATATATATATATATATATATATATATATATATATATATATATATATATATATATATATATATATATATATGTACTTACCTAGGTGTACTCGCCTAGTTGTGCATGGTTGCGGGGATTGAGCTTCGGCTTTGGTCCCGCCTCTTAACTGTCAATCAACCTCGTGTACATATTCCTGAGCCTATTGGGCTCTATCATATCTACATTTGAAACTGTGTATGGAGTCTGCCTCTGCCTCACTACCTAATGCATTCCGTTTGTTAACTACTCGGACACTAAAAAAAATATTTTTAATGTCTCTATGGTTCATTTGGGCACTCAATTTCCACCTGAATGTGTGTGTGTGTGTGTGTGTGTGTGTGTGTGTGTGTGTGTGTGTGTGTGTGTGTGTGTGTGTGTGTGTGTGTGTGTGTGCCCCCTGGGTTAAACTGTCTTTATCTACTCTATCAATTCCGGTGTATTATGTTTACTATCTGTATTATGTTTGGGTATCATGCATCAACTTGTGATGACAGAGGATGCTAGTAGGCCTAGGCTAACAGAAAGTGATCATCTAAATAATTGAAATGATTTTTGAAGGTTATCGGCACCAGGCGTGTCTGCTGGTGAACTATGGCAATATCGCAAATATATAATGTATACTTTATATATAAACTCCACTATATAATGTCTATAGTTACTATGTTCCGAAATGTTGTATAAACTCAATTATAAAGGTATAACCATTTATGAATGGATTTAAATTGGATACGTATATATTAAGGAAAGACCTGTGGTAAAAGCTGGTCTGGAATTAAGGCTGTTGCATTATTCAACAAATTTACAGGGGGATAACAATAGACATGGGATTGTTGGATTTTTTAGACGTAGTTTAGATATATGAATGAGTTTGAGTGGATAAAAACCGTCGTTCATGCCTCGTATATGTTTTTATATCACTAGGTTTCTGCAGTTTCTTGAATTCCTTCGTTCACATTTGACTTCCAAAATAATGTGTTACTACTACGTTATCCAGTCATATGGGTTTAAATTAACAAGTTATTGTACGAGTTTATGACAAGAGGAAATAGAGGTGGATCACATGTGACGTCATTAGCCCCCCCTCCCCCTCCTCTAGGGCCTAGGCTACGCTAATTTGCTTTCATTTATTAAATACTACACAATATAAAGATCATATTTACATCAATTTACGAAGGAAAATACTACATTTATATATAGTTAATATAATTTTCAATACATCAATGTTTCCAATCATGTAATTCAACTCTCCGTCTCGCTTACACACACTTAAATTCTAATTCCCCTTTCATACGCCGTTTGTTGTTGTTTTAAATTCAGCTACTCCGAACAAAAAGTTCCAAGTAGCACGGGCTATGGTGAGCCCGTAAACGATATATGAAATGAATGTTTCATACGTAGGGCGTATGAATGTTTCATACGCCACATTCTACTCCCTTTATACCATTCAAGTCTTCCTCGTTCTGTTCCCCTTTACTCAATTCTAGGTCATTCTACTCCTCTTATCCCAATCAAATCTACTTCCCTTATCTCACTTAAATCGATCCCTATACTCAGTCTAATACCCCTTACCCCCTATTAAAATCTACTCCCCCTTACTTCACTCAGATCTATCCATTCTATTCCCCATACTTAACTAAAATCTACATTATTTTAATCCCCTTATCCCACTCAAATCCACCCCATTCGACTCCCATTACCCCACTAAAGTCTATCCTATTTACTTCCGTTACGCCACCCAAATCTAACCCATACACACACCTCACCTACTTAACACTTGTATACCTACCCCAAATTATATACCACGTCTTCCACCTATTTTTCCGGAGTTACAGCCCCGCTCCTGTGCCAAATAAGTCCACTACGGGCTCACCATAGCCCGTGCTACTTTGGAAATTTTTGTTCTAAGTAGCTTATGAATCTAAAACAACAACCTATTTTTCCCCATTAAGAAGTGGGTCTTCATAGCCCGGGGGAGTTGCGGGGTTGGACTCCGTTACCCGGTCGAGAGCAGGAGAACGGTACCGGGGTGACTCCTGCTGTGGCAGATGGCTTCTGGCGCCTCCCTCCCTCCCTCTCTCTCCCTCCCTCTCTCTCCACTCCCTCTTCCACCGTTACTCCAACACTCCTTGGCTCATTCTCTCTCTCTCTCTGCTCTCATCCTCTCTCTCTCTCTCTCTCTCTCCTCTATCTCTCTCTCTCTCTCTCTCTCTCTCTCTCTCTATCTCTCTCTCTCTCTCTCTCTCTCTCTCTCTCTCTCTCTCTCTCTCTCTCTCTCTCTTTTCTATTTGTCTCCCTCGCTATCTCTCTTCTCTCTCTCTCTCTCTCTCTCTCTCTCTCTCTCTATATCTCTCTCTCTCTCTCTCTCTCTCTCTGTCTCTCTCTCTTCTCTCTCTCGCTCTACTCTCTCTCTCTCTCTCTCTCTCTCTCTCTCTCTATATCTCTCTCTCTCTCTCTCTCTCTCGCTCTCTCTCTCTGTCTCTCCTCTCTGTCCTCTCTCTCTCTCTCTCTCTCTCCTCTCTCTCTCTCTCTCTCTCTCTCTCTCTCTCTCTCTCTCTCTCTCTCTCTCTCTCTCTCTCTCTCTCTCTCTCTCTCTCTCTCTCTCTCTCTCTCTCTCTCTCTCTCTCTCTCTCTCTCTCTCTCTCTCTCTCTCTCTCTCTCTCTCTCTCTCTCTCTCTCTCTCTCTCTCTCTCTCTCACTCTCTCACTCTCTCACTCTCTCTCTCTCTCCGATGCACAGAAACCCTAGATCAGGGTCTCGGTAGCATATAGTTGGGTTCGCTCATGACTCACAATCCGGAATCCCGGGTTTGAATCCTGGACGGGACAGTAATGGTTAGGCACGTTTCCTATTATCTAATGCCTCTGTTCACCTAGTAATAAATAGGTATACCCCGGGAGGTAGTGAACTGTTGTGGAGTTAAATCCTGGGGAGGGACAGTAGAGAGAGAGAGAAACAGACAGATACACAGTATATAGATATATGGGCGAATAGATGGAGAGAGGTATAGATAGATGAGCTGATGGGTGGATAGATATATAGATAAAAAGATGATATACACAATACACATAGATCCAAAAACCTTTCATACACAATACACACACACGCACAACTAGGTAAGTACTCATCCATAGTCATATATCCATAACCACACAAACATCCATAGCCACACTTACACAAACAGCCATAACCACACGTACAGAATATACACACACCTATATCCACACAAACACATGAAACATACCCAACCCACACAGATGAGGAGCCCTGCGGTGCCAGGGTGACCTCATACTCATTGGGAGGGGGGGGGGGTTGTAGGCTAGGCTAGTTGTAAGGGAGAGGAGGAGGGGGGGGGTTGTAGGCTAGGCTAGTTGTAAGGGAGAGGAGGGGGGGGGGAAGAAGTGGAAGGGGGGGACCCCTAACCTGTCTTCAGTACGTCCCTCTTAACTATTCCATTATCTCTCCTCCCTCGCTCACTAGCTGAACGAGACTAAACTTTACGAGCGTTTTATTTTAAATATAAAATATAGGTTAAAATAATAAGATAATCTACAGGTTAAAATATAGTTATTTTAACCTGTAGATTATCATATTTAGTTTCCTAGTCTAATGTGCTTGTGAACAGTTATCACATTTTGTTTTATAAGTTTTCTGTAATATTTTAGATTTGGGTAGGCTATTGTTCCAAAGGCTTGCTGGCAAGTAAATTGCCGGCGGAGCCTTTAATACACACATACACTTCCTACAGAGGATAATACACACGGGGTATTACCCTCTGTAGGAAGATGTACGTTAACTGGTTTGTTCTACAAGACGATTTAGCAGGCCAGAACCTGCAGCCTCATAGATTTTTACGCTATTGCGATTTCACTGCGTACCATATAGCCTCATACTTGCGCTGTGGTCGGATAGACATCTTGAAGAATTGACCAGGTCTTAGGTTTCCATTTTACTCCTTATCTTCCAAATATCGGAGTGCATGCACCGGCTTATCGTCTTGAACAGAAAGGACGAGACTTCATATTACCGAAGAAACGGTTAAGAGTAAAGAGGATGCCATAGCCTACCTATTAGCAGCAACTTCAATGGACTGTGACTGTGTATGAAAGTGACTTATTATGGGATGTTGTTGTTTTAGATTCAGCTACTGGGAACAAAATTTCCATGTAGCACGGGCTATAGTGAACCCGTAAAGAAGGCAAGTGACATAATGAGAAGAAAGTGACCTAGATTGGGAGGCTACTTAATCTGGGAGGAAAGTGGCATAAAATGGAAGGAGAGACAAAATGGAAAGAAATTAACCTTGGAT